TAAAGACTCCAATTTTTTTACAAAAAAGATATGCCATTCTTTATAGTGAATAAAGTACTTTAACTGCTTTATCTAATTGTAATCCTTCAACTTTAAATTCATGGCCTCTAAGCTAATAATAACAATCAGCAATATTTATTATCAAACCTCAGAGTTTATTTCAGTATCAGTGGATCAAAAATGTGAAATCTATCCAACAAATAACTCTCTGGAATTGGCAGGAAAAGCATAGAATTAAAAGTAAGGAGGAAATTTGGTCAGTTAAGCTTATTGTAACAACCTGACCTCCATAACACTGCATACCTTGAAGATATGTTTCATGTTTTATCATATTACAGTAGTCAGAGATTATTGGATCATTAGCTTTAATTTTATTCCAAGAATGTGTTTGGAGATCCATTTATCTGCAGATTTATTTTTTGCTCTCTACTGTGTTTGTCACTTCAGTAGCAAATATATCTAAGACTACTGGAAGCACTGCTAGAAACAGGACTGAGGTAAATATGCTTGCATCAGCAAACACACTACATTTTTTAGTGTTCTTCTGAACTTTACTGGAAACTTCAATCCAAAAAAATAAAGCATGCACCAGTTTGATCCCACAGAAGTCAATGAAAGCAGTCTCTGTTTGCATTTTTGGGTAACACAAAAGGCCATGACACAGGTGTACCAAGAGAAGAGTGGAGATTGCTTCAAACCCTGGTAGCCAGAAGCTGGAGCAGCCATCCAAGCCACCTGCTGCCTGTGGCTGGAGTTCTCTCTTCTGCCTCACTACATCCCACAGCTCACCTGGTGTAAGCAGCTTCACCTGGGTGGATGGATGGACGGGCAGACGATGGATGCAGTGAGTGAGTTTCTTATTTCTTATACATGTACCGACACTTTCAAAAGTGCCATCTTCTTTTGCATTAGATCTCCTGTTGCATTTAAAACAAATACAGAACTGGAAAGCTGAATGTAAAATATGATCGAAGAACTAAGGCCAAATCTGACGCCACTGTGTAGCTACGATGCCTTCCCCCTGAAGTCAGTGATGAGTAAGACATTGCCTTTGTGATAATAACTTTGTGTGAACCCAGGAATTCAGCAAAATATAATTCTAAGATACCCTTCCACTGGGGTCAGGGAGCTGCTTGTCTACACAGAACAGACCCACATTTCTGTGGCAGAGCACACGAATCCACGGCAGTAGCTAAAGGGTATTAGGTGTTCAAATTTGTTAGAAGATGAGGGCTGAGTCTCTTGCTCACTTCCTTCCAATTCTCCCAAGGGTGTCTGCATATGTAGAAATCAATCCTGATCCCAGGAAGACATGGAAAGCTGTTCACTCCTGCATGAAGAAAGGTATGGATTACATGCGTACAGCCGGTTCTCTACATGCATGATCTGCATGGTGCCTCAAAGGAAAACTTACTCAGCAGTGACAGTGATCAGAATACAGCCCGTTAACTCTCATACTAATGATACTAGTAAAAAGTCCCTCCCTCACGTAAGATCCTTTTATTATCTTTGTACAAATTTGAAGGTACAATCAGGAGCCATATTGTACTATTGATTTTTAACCAAACTCCCCACCAAAATCAATGAGGAGAGCTGCTTACAATCAATAATACAATAAAGAATCTGCTGAGCTGTTTACAGTAGGACTTTTTCTAATTTTTGTTTGTTTTTATCTTTGATTTAATCATACTCACTCTGACATGTTGATGCTGGATGATAAATAACCCATGTCTGTATGGAATTTGTCAAAAATGAGAACAATATGGATGCAATAATGCTAATATTGAATTTTCAGGGAAAAAAAGATATTAAGGAACTAAAACAGGCTGTGGTATCACTCAAAATTGCTATCCTTTCAAATCCCAGAATGGGGTCTGATGGCCTGGGAAAAAGGTTCTTTCAGTTCACTCACACAGTGAATAAAATATTCAAGTCTGAAAAGGAACAAACATGTTAAAAAGGGGGTTTATTGCTCAGAATAAAAACTGTTTATAAAGTATATCTGAAATTCACATGGGAATCAGAGTTGACCACCCTGAAAAAAAGAGGGAAAAATATTCAGAGTTGATGAAGTTTCTGAAAATTGGGGAAAAAAAGGTAATTGTAATTTTTTCAAAAATTTATAGAGTTGAGAAAGGAGCGATGAAGCTAACAAAACCCACTGAGTTAATTTATATTTGAGAAGAGATTGTCTTAGGATATTAATCTGGGAAAGAGAATCTGCATTCTGCTATGTACATTGAAGAAGCTGTATAAAAATTTGAACTCTGTGGGCAAGAGAGATGTTATCCGCACCCCTGTGCTTCGCAGTTCTTGCAGAGTAGCTCAAGACTATAATTTCTTGGATTACTCTTCTGAGGTGTTATAACTTTTCCAATGTACTATAGCACAAGCCCTAGAGTCCTGCTTTTAGACTCCTCTGGCAGCATGCTCAGGTAAGCTTGCAGTCCCTATCTTGTGTTCATTTTGACTGCCATTGTCTTAAAAATTATTTTGCCACCCTTTCCAAAACAGCGAATTCCCAACAGATTTTGAAGGCAAATCCTCAGTGCTTAATACATAAAATAACCACCTATTTTTTTTCAAATCAGTCTAAAACAGTACACAGCCAAAACCATCAGTGCCTCAGTTTCCCATCTGTAATATGATCACAATGGTAGCCCCTTAAATGTGTACTAAAAACAGAAATTAATTATAAAAGTAACATAGTTCAGATGTTATGTTGTGGTATAAGTATCCCCGAACAGACTGTGAGAAAGATTGATTAAAGAGACCTTTAAATTAACTATACTGCTGTACTCAATTGAGTAGCAAGACTTCCTTCCACTGGAACGCTGACCAGTCTGTCAATATTCCATCAATATCCTTTAAGCTTAGAGAGTCTGGGTTTGACAGCCATGGAGGCTGATTTAGCCAATTAACCCTGCTCTCCCCCCTCTCCAAAAGTATACTTCTTGTATTTTCTTTTAAATATTTCTCTTGAAATAAATTCAACCTGGATCTAACCTAGATGAGTACAAGACAGAGCAGAAGGCAAAAGAAACTGTATGAAAATAAAAAGAGTTTAGGCCTAGGGCACGACAGAGGACATATAGGGGACATACAGGACTAAAGGCCATACAGTGGAAACTGTACAGGCAAAAAGTGACATCTCCAAACAGCTCATCACATTAAAGCAAATCTCCTTGCACATTTCTAAACACAAACACCAGCTGCCCTAAGAGTGGCTGGGATATAGAAGACGGATGGAAAAGGGCCTGGACGATTCTATGATTAACTAGAATTTGCCCTAAGAACATGGCATGAAAACACATTACAACAGCCAAACAGCCCTTTTTTCCATACAACTGCTTATTAATAAAACAAGAGGTTTGGGGACTTCTTTTTTTTTTTTTTTTTTTTTTTTTTTTGAGATGATGCCTCCTATCATCAAGTTATGCCATTTTTACCCAACTAGGAACAAAAACTTGAAAACTTCGTGTGTATTTGCTCTGCTGATCATACTTCACAAAACATTGTTGTCTATAATGCATTAGTAATTTGCGCACGTTTGTATTTTTATGTTTTGTCAAATACTCATGAAATTTGTCAAATACTCATGAACATCCTCCTCACCATGCACATATTTCCCCAGTTGTTCACATGTTGGAACATTATAAAAAAAAAGGGTTGGGGGGTTTTTTTTTTTTTTTTTTTTGCTTTTGTTTCTTCGCTTTTTAAGAGGTCAGAATCTCTTTTTCTATTTCAGCCATGCTGCTATACCGATTCTGTGAGCTTTGCCCCCAGCTTTTTTCTGCTGGGCAATACCAATTTAATTTGTAATGAAAACATTGCAACTCAGACTATACTACCTACCAGCATATTGATTATTTTTTACCAAACAATTACGAGGAAATCAAAATCCCATCTCTTTCTCTGCTTTTCTAGCTAGTTTTTGATTGGTTTTTTTTTCCATGTTGATCTTTTATTTGTGTACATAAATGAGTTGAAGCGTAGGCCAGGGTATCTATAAAAATTGTACAGCTTTACCGAAACTTTCTTATATAGTAATACCAGTACATACTTCTCATGTAGGTATGGTTCTACTGATGCACATACTCCTCATATATCACACATACAGGCTCACATTTAGGGAAAGTATATGAACCATATCAACATAAATCTCTTTATAACAGCAAAAGAGTACTCATATTATGAATGGTAACAGTATTTTGGTTTAGAAAAATCATGCCCTCAGTCAAACTGATCCATGTTACACCTATGCAGCTCAGACCCCAGCCCCTTCTATCCCTGAAATCAAACACATTTTTAAAACTTAAAAAAAAAAAAAAAAAAGTTAAACTCATCTAAGATGAATGCAACTAATTAAAATGGTATTTAATCTTAATTCAGACTAATTTGTTTATGCCATAGGTCATACTTTACTGTTCTTAAGTACCTTCTCCAGGTCTTAAATATTATCTCTTTTCAGGTCAGCCAAAGAACCCATTTTCCATGTTTTTGTTAAAGGCTCTTCCTCTAATGATCACTTTTCTGGTATGGGTAGGAGAGGAAGAAATCTAGATGAAGGCATCAGTCCCTCTTAGCAATCACAGCCAGAGAGGTTCAAATGCTAATCAGGTCACACAAAGAGGGCAAGTAACACTAACTAATACTGTGACATATCCAATACTTTGGAAGAGGAATTACATTCCAAGCAACGAATGATGTTGTCTGATATAAAACAGCTACATTCAGGAGACCATTTTGAAAATCAATTTGAACTTTCCATCAGCAGCAACTGATGGTATTGTCTGTTTTCTAAAGAAAACCCAAACCCAGCTATTGGGGGAATAAAATGTAATAAAAATACTTGTTCTGTTTGGAGTGAAATACTTGGGAGTATGACAAACTCATTTCTGCAGTACTGCAGGTTGTCCAGATGCTTCTTATTCCACCTGAGATTTATGGTTTGATCTTGACAAACAAGGACCTATTACTCTACTGGTTGGTTTGGGTTGATGACAAGTCGAATACGAGTCAACAGTGTGCCCTGGCAGCCAAAAGGGCCAACCGTGTCCTGGGACACACCAAGCACAGCATTGCTAGCCGGTCGAGGGAGGTTGATTGCCCCATTCTACACTGCGCTGGTGTGGCCCTACCTCAAGTACTGTGTGCAGTTTTGCATGCCTCAACTTAAGGACATCAAACTGTTAGAATGTGTGCAGAGGAGGGCGGCCAAGGTGGTGAAAGGCCTCGAGGGCAAGACTTTGGAGGAGCAGCTGAGGTCACTTGGTTTGTTCAGCTTGGAAAAGGCTGAGAAATGACAGTCCACAACTTCCTCAAGGAGCACAGCGGAGGGGGAAGTGCTGGTCTCCTCTTTCTGGCAACCAGCGATAGCACATAAGGAAATGGAATAAAGCTGCATCAGAGGAAGTTCACAGTGGACATTAGGAAAAGGTTCTTCACCGAGGGAGTGGTTAGTCACTGCAACAGACTCCCTTGGGTAGTGACGACAGCACCAAGCAGCATCTGGATGATGCTCTAAGTCATATGGTTTCATTTTAGGTAGTCCTGTGAGGAGCAGGGATGATGATCCTTACGGGTTCTTTCCAACCTGAGATGTTCTGTGATTCTATGATACTCGGTAGTTGACTATGCATGTCACTGTGGGAAAGCTGAAAATAGATGCTGCAGGAAAAGTTTGGATGTCACAAACTAGCTACATATGCCGGCTGAGATGGTCCCACCAAATAGCCAGAGAAGAATAAAAAGGAAGAGTGGCAGTGGCTGGTGACAGACTGCTAAATGTGACAGACTGGAGGCTCAAAGGAATTCACATGTGTGCATTCTTGGCAGCTGTTGACTGATCGGGAAAAAGCCCTCCTGCTGCACCAAAGATACAAACCACTCACGGCCATGCAATTGAAGCTCAGTGTTCACAGTTCAGTTCATTTAATGAGAGACTGAAAATGAATATTGATGTTGTTGAATATCTATGTGCAGGTACAGAAATAGAGTAGTCAACCTAGATTAATTTGAATTACTTTGGTTGAAAGTGAGTTGATAGGACATAAAATAGTACGTGAAACTGGGGCCGTGCCAATGACCGATAATGAATGTGGGGGAACAGTCTGCAACATACCTAGTGGTCCACACAATTTAGGAAGATCCAAACAATCTTGAAGACCTATCAGAGTTATTGATAGGCCACAGCCAAGTGCCTGGTTTTGAAGAAGATTATAATTCTAGAGGAAGTACCTAAGGGGAAAAAAAACAAGCAACTCAAACCAAAAAAGTTATCTTGTTATGATGCTCTACTTGCTAGATTATTTCACTCAGTGAAATGGATTGCCACTTCAAATACCTAATTATAGCATTACAGATAATCAATAAGAAGAGGGTGGGGTGACAATAACGCACAAGAAGTGCTGGGATTGATTTGTTAAGCTTTTTTTTTTAAAGGTTTAGACCACACTACTTGTTTGAAGAACTGCCAAGATTTCTGGTGATGAAAATTAGCAACAATTAAGAAAAGCACGAAAATAGTTCTAGTTCTTTCGTTTATTTGGTTTGTGACAACATAGCCTTACTGTCAAACTGCCTCTTGATTCTGGAAGAAAATTAGCTCTTGAGAAAATCATTCCCGTACAGCAATGGTTTCCCTAAGCATAAAGCCCAATTTGACATTCCCCTGTGGAATTCCCTTAGCTTGCAAATGGTACTGAAAATCAAGAAAAACGGGACCAAATTTTCTCAAATATGCACTAGTTTTGGCTGCCCTCGCTTCTGATGTGATGATGATGTGATGAGTCCTTGCTACCTCTGGAAGTCAGGCCTGCATCTTTGCCACCAGCTGCTGCTGAAAAACCTGGATTCTGTGAAATCTAGGTCCTCAGTGCTCGGAAAGGTGGAAATTTCCTCAAAATCTACATCCTGATCATGTGCCTTCACATGATTTACGACAGTACTTCTGCCGTTTTTCCCTCTCCTTGGAATGTGAACACGCGCGGGCGGTGGGGATGGAGAGGTCTGTGCCCAGGAACAAGCTATTCGGGTTGGCTTCCACCGCGAAGTCCAGCTCCGGCCGACAGCAGGAGAGCCCGTCCTGCCGCACGCAGGGGGTCTGCCGGAATAACTGAAGATAAATTTAGGGGGAGACCCCACCGTCCGGGCGGGGACAGCTGGCACTGGGCTCCCAAGCAAGGCCTGACCGGGCAGGCCCCGGGCGTGCGAGGCCGGCCCCCGCCACCCCTCACCTCAGCACGGGGGCTGAGCCAACGGACGCCGGGCCCTGAGGCGCGGGGCCCCCCTCGCTCCCTCCTCACGCCCACCCGCCGGCTGCACGCAGGCGGGAGCCCGGGTGGGGACCCTCGGCCGAGCGCCTGGGACCGTCGTCCGGCCTCATCCCCGGGGGAAAGGCGGGGCGGGCGGCCGCTCCCCGCCCCCGGCACTGCGGCGCGGGGCCGCGGCTCCGGGGCGGTAGGGGGCGCTGGGCGGCCGGACGCTGGGTTGGGCTGGGGGGGGGGGGGCTGGCCCTGGGGGCGGGCTGGGCGGGGGGGTCGCCGGCCCTCTCCGGGGGTCAGTCCCGCCGCAGGAAGCAGCCGCCGCGGCCGGCCGACTTCAAGCTGCAGGTGATCATCATCGGGTCGCGGGGGGTGGGCAAGACCAGCCTGATGGAGCGCTTCACCGACGACACCTTCTGCGAGGCCTGCAAGTCCACCGTGGGTAAGGGGAGCCCGCCGGGCCGCGCCCCGACCCGTCCCGGGGAGGGGGGGGGTGTCCTCGCCCCGCTGCTCGCCGTGCCCACCCTGCCGGGGAAAGACGGGGCTCGGTGTGGCGGCCCCTCTCCCGCCTTCTTCCCCCAAACGTGCCCCCCCGTCGCCACATGCCGGCCCGAGGTTGTCCCCCCTCAGGGGCCTCCCAGCCCTCCTGCCTTCCCTTCGGGGTGGTCCCTGTCCCCTTCCCGCGTCGCCCCGGGTGGGTTGCTCGGCCCTTCCCGCCCCTTCGCAGTGGGAAGCCCCCGGGGGGGGGGTGTTAAGTGGTGGGGGGAGCCCTTGGTGTCAGGGTGCCCGGCCCTGCTCCGTGGAAGGATTGCGGAGGGCCTGGTTATCCTGGCAGGTTTCGGGAAGGTGTGGGGGTATCCTGTTTCAGCCTCGCTCATGACAAAACAAAAAGCAGGGTTTAAAAAAAATAATAAGCAAAATTAGGGATGGTTGGTAAAATGGATTATTGTGCACAAGTCTGAGGTGTTTCGTGTAGGGAAACAGAAGTGTTTTGGGAGTTGTTAAAAGTTGCACAGTGTGTATTCAACATAGTTGATGGGACCTCAGATAGTCTTCCAGCCCGTAGTCTAATTAACTCCAGGTTGCTGTTATGCCTTCATCAAGAAGCCCTCCATGATGTTAGATGTCAGAAAGTTTAATGTTTCATTTCTTGAAGCGTACTAACTCCTGATCACACTGTGTGTTTTGCTCCTCACACAACTAACTGGAGAGCAACCTCCTAGTTCTGTAGTGTGCTGTCTTATTCATGGTGTAGTCATCTCTATGAGTCTTGGAGGTAATTTAATGCCTGCTGTCTTTTTAATACACAAATGCATAAAGGGAGGAAAACAAGCTAGTTAGTCTGCATTGTTATTAAGAGTCCTGTCCTTGGAGTTGAACTCTTGAGTATTGCAGCAAGGCAGTTGTTAAGTCTGTGTCATTGGAAAATATGTCTGCTTGGCTTAATTGTAGCTTGGAATGTGAGGAAACTTATAGCATCTGATGGAAAGCCTTTTAGAAGCTGAATTATTACTATCCAAAACTATCTTCCTGTGACAAAATAATACACAATTACTCTTACTTTACTTTTAATGTGTATTTTATCAGTTGTTTCATTCTTTCCTAGGTTCTCTAAAAATCCAAATCTGGTAGTGTAGATTGGCACTGTTAGTGTCAATGTATTTTTGTTTTGAAGTTGGTAACTTGACCTTGTAGAAGTTAGAAAGACAGCAGTAGCATATCAGAGGCATTAATCCTCAAGTGACGTGTCGTGATGAAGAAATGCTGATAGCTTCTGTGGATGAACAGATTTAATTAAATATACGGTACAGGTGAGGAAATAGAACTAATAGAGGAATGTATTCTTTCTAAATTCTCCAAGTCTATATATTGTTTTGAACTCACGTGCGTCTTCTTTGTGTTGACCTACATTAAGGGTTCCTTCAAGGCTGGGCTGCTCTCCCTAACTGGGGTTGTTTTCCTGGCGTGAATGTTGGGAAGTGAGAGGAGGTACTCTAGAGCCCGGTCCAGACTTCCAGTCTGGTGCCTTGTAAGCAAAACTGATTTGCTAGATGACTGAGACAGTGATTGAGGCAGGGGAAGCTTCCTTATTTTAGAAAAGAAACAGGAAATAACTGGTGGTATGCTGCTAGACAGAAGTTTATGTAATGTTTGATGTACAAAGTGTGCCAACATAAAGCAGCATAGGGAAATCAGTGCGTGCCAAAATACATGTAGAAGGACTTGACAGTAATGGCATTCTTTCAAGGTCCTCTGACTAAACTTGAGAGCTGTTGAGATTCCCCCAGATCTTTTGACTGCTAAATGAAAGAGCTTTTCACAGTCAGCTTGCACCTTCCTGTTTTTGCACCGTGGAGTAAGAAAAAGTAACCTCTGCTATTTACATTTCATGTAGGTTGAAAATAAGCTACACTCCAAAATGACCTGAGGTCAGACTTTGATACACAGTTGAAATCATAAAGCTCTTTCTTTGTCACCACTTACTGTAGTGGTTTTCAAGAATTACAAGTGGAGAATGTTTTGAAACATTGTTGAAAACCCTGTGACTGATCCAGTGTCAGTTATGCAAACTGAATATACCTTGAGAATAAATTGAGAAAAGACTATGTAACAAAAAAAACCCAAACCCACAATTAAAATTTGCTGTATCTACCTCTTATTAGCAAAGCTGTACTTTAACTGGAATGCTAGAATACGTATTTACTCCCTTACCTTTATATTAATGGTCTCAACCTTAATGTTTGTATTTTTATACTAAACCAGGCAAAACAAAATGTTTAGCGCCCAAACCTTTTGTATGAAAGTCTAAGGGCTACTTCGAGGTCTTCTCTGACAGTGCAAGAATTGTCCAAAGCCTTTGGCTGTTTTCTGGCCCTTAGTGCTGTTTAGGGTAATAACACCATGTCAATGAAAAGTGGAGTGTTTCTGCTGAAAAGGGGAGGTGTGAATTCAATTTCGAAAGATACAGTATTTTAATGCTAATTTAAGAAGACTGCATTGCCAGATTGGTAAAGTAAATTCTATAATAAAAGCACATCAACATGTCTTCAGTCCCATCTCAAAATACTGAAGTTCTTTGAAAGTGTTCAAAAATAACTTGGCAGATTTCAGCACATTATTCATAATGGCACACGATGTGCTGTTGATCTAAAATTCTTTTGATGTGTTTATTTTGGGCATTAAATTAGTTGCATAGGATATTGTGTCTACTTAATCTGCTATTTACATAGTACTGAGAATACTCAATATGCTCAAATATTTACTGATTTTTGCATGTGGTTGTCAGATGAGAAGTAGATGTTTACAATTTTATGTGCTCGGTCTGAATGTCTATTCTTACTATTAGGTTATAACTTATTACTTGTTTGGGAAAAGAAATTGTTTTTAGAAATGTTCCTCAGTATCTGTGATGATGTAAAATTACTCTTTTCATGCCAGTGTTGAATCCAAAGTAGTTAAGGTAACTTTGTTTTCTGTAAGGGAGGAATGCTTATGTGGGGGTAACAGTGGTGTCAACAAACATTATGTATGCATATACACAGACACACTTTTTCTTTAAAAATAAAAATATCTGATTATGATTTGTTACCTGACCCCCATGCACCTGCATTATTCATGCGGGAGCAGAATCCAAAACTATTGCTTGGAGGTTTTTCAGACTCTTGACAATTAAAAACAAGTATGCCAAATTAGTCCTGAAAAAGGATGATCTTTCCAAAGACAGCAGATAAATACTCATGGCCACATTTGTGAGAAGGTTCGAAGATGGGTGGTGAAGGTGCTTCTTCCCCTCCCTCCCCCCAGGTAGTTCTTATTTGGAAAGAAATACGTCTTAATTCAGATAGTGGTGATGTTATAACGGTTTAAATTTTTTTCAATGGTGCTATCTCACCCTTTTTTTCATCAGAGTCCCTTTACTTAATAGTCAAAGGCCTCTGTTCCCACCATCTGTCCAACTACTGCTCAGTCTTACGGTTGTTTGTCCTACCTGCATCCACCAAATTTTAGCTCCTTCCCAATCTCTCTGAAGTTTTTCTTCCATGACAGATTTACAAAATTCCTGTACTCATCAGTATTTCCCGTCCAGCCAATTTTGCTGCAAGCTTCGTGCTTCTCTCTGGGTTTTAATCTCTGAACCTGAGGTTCCTGCTCGCCTAAACCTGAGGCCCTGCACTGACTCACCTCTTGGGTGGCTGGCTGTCCTGCACTCTCAAGTCAAGTTGAGCTCCTTGGCTTTTCTTTTACTTGCTGGCTCTGTGTGTAAAGTTTCTGAGGTCTAGTCTTATCCTTCAGCTCTTTTCCACCAGGTCTGAGAGCATCCCAGGAAAGCGGCCTTGCCCTTGTTAATATCAGAGGAGTTTGGGTGTCCCACGCAGGTTCATTGCTGGCTACTACAGTGTCCTGGTTTGCAAGCAAAATCGTAGGTAGAGCTGCTCAGCTGAGGTGTAATGGGAAGGTTTGTTGTGAGTCAGGGTAGGAATCTTGTGACCTGTGATGTTTCGGACTAATTGTGGCCTGTGGGTTCCAGATCAGTAGCATGCAAATGCACTGAGGTGTAAGACGCCTTTGACTTCACAAAAATGCTCTTTGACCTTGTTTCACCTTCGTTTGATGTTCGAGTGAAATGGTATGTAAGTTGGGAACTCATTAGATTTGCAGAGCTCCGTAGCTTTGACTTCCAAGCAGTCTCTTGCCTATCAGTTCTTTACAAAATACCCATCTGTCCAAAATGCCTGATGTCCATCAAATAAACAACAGTAATGCTGAAAACTTTAGGTTTATCTTTTATCAGAGCAATCTTAAGTAAGGCAGCTCTGGTTTTAATATGTATAAGTATATACACAGTTATAATTATATGTATGCATGTGTATGTTTGGGGTTTCTGTCACAGTTCAAACCCTTCATTCTCTTTATCCTTAAAAAATGTGGACTAACAACGTAAATGTTAAATTTCATTCCCATAAGGTTCCTGTATGACATAATTATATTAACTTAAAAGTATCAGCATATTCATTTTAAAAGTATCAAATGGTCATTTTTCAGAACTGCCTGTTAAGTTGCTCCTGAGTTTTCAGTTACACAGTATTTATTCTCACAAGCACTGTAAACATGGTATGTGGCTTAGTAACCATTTGAAAAATAATTTTTCAGTAAATCATAATAAAAATTGTGGTTTTAAAAAAACTTTAGTAATTTGGTGTAATCTGAGAGGAAGAACAATCTACATAAAATTTTCAGAAAAACATCCTGCATCAAGTAGAAAAACATTTACCTTTTTGCTATGCTTGTTGTATGTGCCTGTGGGCTCTTTCTAACAAGTATAATTCAGTTTAACTTTTCTTTAAATATTTTTTTTCCTTCGGTATGATGGCACTGAAAACTTAGTTGGGGTGGGGAGAGGGAAGAAAGGGTAGAAACAGATGTCTCTACCACGTCATGACA